GAAATCTTTTCTTAGCTATAATGCCCAAGCCCATGTTTCCTAAACAAAAAACACAGAACTTGATCTAGCCTTTATGAGGATGCAGAATCATCCTCAAAAACAGAAAAAAAAAAAAATCATACACAACTGTCAGGACAGGAGTAGCACAGGACTATGAGGATCCCTGGAGGCTCAGGGGGGTATTTATCCTTCAACTCACTCGGTGGCTCCAGAATGCTCTCTTTGTTATATGGTTGGTTGTTGGTTTTTTTCCCTCTCTGCCATTTCTGTTGGGCATTTAGCTCTCAGATTTTGGTGCTCTCAATGTTTCTACCCCCTTTTTTTTTTCCCACTTCTTTCTGTCTGTTTGCTGCTTCTCTTATACTTGAGGATTGGAAACTAAGATTCAAGTTCTGTTAGAACAACATGTAAAATAAGAGTAAGTTCTGAGAGTGAATATAAGAAGGTTGACTAGATGTAAAGTATCTTGAGTCTTAGTGCACTCTGGCTCTAGTCTGGATGGTTTTGTTGATTTGTTGGTTTGTTTTTGTGGTGCAAGGGATTGAACCCAGGACCTCCATAGGCTAGGCAAGTGCTCTTCCACTGAGCTGTACCCCAGGCTCTGATCCGGCTGTTCAAGTAAAGGTATGTGTGTACACACGCGTGCATGTGTGTTTGTGAGTGTGTCCAAGATGGAGAGGTATCTCTATGTATGTGATTAAGTGAGATTTTCCCTTCTGGTTTTTTACTGTGAGTGTGTGACAGCTAAGTATGACCATCCGTAATTTTCCTAGAGAAATTGGAAAGCATAGAACATTGAAGATAACAAGGCATTTTTGTAGGACTGTATATAAAAATTACCCCCCTGTGCTAGACAGGCTCCGTGATTATTCTGAGGCAGGGTAAGCTGCATCCATTATCTCTGAGAAATAACAGTTGTATGTTTAGGCTAAGTTCCTACTGGGAAATTGAAAGAAAATTATTATTTGGCTTGAGGTCCCTTGATCCCCAAAGAGACTTCCTTCAGCTACTATGAGCTGCTACGCATGTGATAATTATTATGAGAAATCCCGCACATCTCTCCCACGTCAGTGTATGAGGGAGTCAACAGACATGGATTCAGAGAAAGTCAAGGTCTGTGCTAAACAAAATCACCTGGAAATCCTGTTCAACACGTAGGTGCTTGGAGCCTGTTATCGAGAGTCTATTTTAGCAGATCTGGGACTAAGACCAGAAGTTTGGGAGAGATTTTCACCCCACGGTAATTAAGCTTCTAAATCCACCCATAACTGCAATACCCTTATCACACCCAGGTCTGATTTTGTAAGAAATCCAGATTGTCTGTGTGCTCACAACCATTTAGTATTCAGACGCGGGGCTTTAGATAGTCAGAAGGACATTGCTTTTTATTCTGAGTACTCCTTTTTCTGCCCCTGAGCTTCCTGCCCAGCTCACCATGTACCTGTCAGCCCCATCAGCCGTGCCTGTGCCCAGATAACAAGATATCTAGACATGCATGAGCTCCTACCCATTTCTTCTCGTTCTATCTCTTCTCATGGTGCTGAGCTGGAAGCAGTGCCCAGGTTACTATAGGACACTCACATAGCATGGCGCTGCCTCCTAGGAGTGTCGGGGTTTTCTCTACAAAGGGCATGCTTCTGAAAGAAGGGACATGGTCAAAAGTAATGTTAATCACAAAACTGCTGACAGCACTAGGCACATGCCTATAATCCTAGCAGCTCAGGAGGCTGAGGCAGGAGGATTGCAAGTTCAAGGCCAGCCTCAGCAACTTGGTGAATCCTAAACAACTTAGCAATACCTTGTCTCAAAATTTAAAAAAAAAAAAAAAACGGGCTGGGGATGTGGCTTAATGGTTAAATTCCCCTGGGTTCAATCCCTCCCCCCAAAAAGATGAAAGCCAACCCACTAGGAAGTAGAAGCACTGGACAGAGTTAAAAGCACCCCTGACCTATTCTACAACAGCAGCATCTGGGCCACTTCCTGAGAGTGGATACAAGTAGGGAAGAGTTTTTGTTCATACTACCTCATTTAGTACTCATAATAACTCTAAGATGGAAATACTATTACTTCTAACTTACGAAGAAACCAAAGTGAATAAGTTGTTTGTCCAAGTTTGAAAGAGGCAAAGCCGGATTCAAAGTCATCATGGTAGAGATAAAGTCTGAGTATCACTCTGGAGCACATCGGCACACAACCAGATTAGAATTCCTACTCAGATGTCACAGGGATCCTGATGTTGGTCTGTGGTCCTCAGCAATGCAATTGGGGAGGCCAAGTCGATTTCTGCACCTGGAAGGCATTTAGGGATACCAACTCCTGTGAGAGCACTAGCTAGAAGCTTCAAACTCACCAAAAATCCAAGAAGTACTCTGCCCCCTACAATTCAGTGTAGGATCCATAGCCAACTCAATGCTGCATGGAAGAAACTTGGGGGTTGTGCTATCTGATTGGGGATGCTGGGATCCCTCTCCTTCAGGGAGATGGAACATTACAGACTTCAGGAAAATCCAGGAGAGCTGGTTTTCTGTAGGTCTACAGGACTTTGGCAGTCCCTGCTGCACAGGGATTCCATTCTTCTGCCCCAGATACAAAATCGACATGACATGATGGATCCAGATTGGACAAGGAACATGTACTCCAGTGGTTCCACAACTCCCCAGGTGGCTGAGAAGTTCCACAAAGATGTCTTCAAGAACACTGCAAAGGAATCTCCATACCCTTCAACAGATGAATGGATTTTTTAAAATGTGGTGTGTGTGTGTGTGTGTGTGTGTGTGTGTGTGTGTGTGTGTGTGTGATTATTACTCAGCCTTAAAGAAGAATGAAATTATGGCATTTGCTGGTAAATGGATGGAGCTGAGGAATATCATGCTAAGCAAAATAACCCATTTCAAAAAATCAAAAGCCAGACCTTTTCTCTCATATGTGGATGCTAATTCACAAGGCAGCAGGTAGCTAGGAAAGAATAGAGTTACTTAAGATTAGGGGAGTGAAGGGAGGGAAGTGGGTGTGGGGGTAGGAAGGAGAGTAGAATGAATCCGACATTATTATCCTATGTACATATATAACTATATGACTGGTTGGATTCTACATCATGTACAAGCAGAAGAATGAGAAATTATGCTCCATTATACATGATGTACCAAAGTGCATAGTACTGTCATGTATAGGTAATTAAAACGAATTAAATTTTTTTAAACATATATATTTAGGGAAAAAAAAGAACAGTGTAAAGAAATCTGAGAAATACAGTATGCCTGGCTCTTCCCAACCAACCCATGTTGACTAGAACACATTGCTGCGATGCGTTTTATATATTGGGATTCCTTGTAAACTTCTGTTTGAAGGAAAGACTCCAAGTCAAGATACATGCTTGGAAATGACTGCTTCTATCCTCCTAAATCCATCTACTGTTATCCCTAAACCCTTCTGGACAGTAGGGCATCTGAAGCTGAATACAATCTAAGGACGAAGCTTCCCCTGCCATCAGTTTCCAATACACCTGGAAGGTTTATTTCTTAGTCCTTCACTGATAGGGCAAAGGAACCAAGGATCAGTTACTCTTCATGGAAAAAAAAAATATATCCTTTCCTAAAAAAAAAAAAAAAAAGGGATAGTTCTTTAAACTTGCAACTCTGATCCCAAAGGGATAAGAAGAGTCTGTCTCCCAGACCCCTCTACATCATGGGAGTGAGAGGGACCCCAGCCAACTCCACCACTGTCCAGATTTAGTCCAATCAAACCTACTGCACACAGATCTTCAGAGAAACTCTGAGTTCTGTTGAGGAAACATGAAGCGAAACGTAGGTAAGAAAGACAGTCGCGACCTGGGCCTGGCACACACTGGTGGTCGCCTTCTTGCCAAGGGTTTCCCACCCACAATCCACCTCTTCTTCACTGGAAGAACTCATCTCCCACTGTCACCTCCCATCACTGAGGCAGAAAATGGCAGCCATTAACTTTCCCAGTCTCCCTCCTACATAGGACATGAAATTGTGACCTGTTCCTCCAGGGGGCTTCTAGGAAAGACCTTCTCTCCCACCACAACTTAAAAACAATAGGTCCATGAAAATGCCCCTCTTCTTCACTGGCTGGGCACTTGAAAAGCATTATCCCCTTTTAAACTCATAGCAACCTGGTGGTGTAGCTGAGAGCGTATTCCCAGGTTCAGAAATGAACAAATGGAGGCATAGGAAGGTGAATAATTTAACCAAGACTGTATCTAATTAACGGTAGGACCAAGATTCAAGCCCAGATCTGTAGGATTCCTGATGTGGTTGTCCCCGAAAAGGATATGTTGAAACCTTCATCCATAACACCACAGAACGAGATCTTATTTAAAAATAAAGGCTGTACAGAGATAACCATATGAAAATGGGGACATCAGGGTGAGCCCTAATCCAAAAGGACCAGTATGTTATAAACAGGGGCAAATTTGCACACAGAGGCAGACACACGCACAGGGAGGACCAGCTGAAGACCCAGGAGATAGGGGTGATGTGTCTACAAACCAGGGAAAGCCACTGATTGAATGGGAACACCAGAAATCAGAAGACAGGAGGGAGGATTCTCCCCTAGAGCCGTCACAGAGCATGACCCTGCCAACACTTTCAGTTAGGCTCCTGGCTTCCAGAAGCATGAGACAATAACTTTCCGTGACTTGAAGGCATCTCACGTTGGGTTCTTTTAACAAAGCAGCCCTAGGAAACTCATACAACTTGCAAACCCTTATGCACATTATTAATATGTCTAAATCTGTCTCTTTGAAAATGTACTGATTTAGACATCCTTGGCCGGGAATGGTAGTGGAGTAGCAGAGACCAATCCTAGAAAACAGTGGTGTCTTGAAGGTGCAAAGACAGAGGCAAGCAGATTGTGCACTGGCCCTACAGGGAGGCAACCAGGAACCCAACCCGTGCTTATCAAACTAAAAAATTATGGGTGTCACATGGAAGACTTCAATTTCCTTTGAGATTGGTGTATCTATCTTCATTCTGCAGGTGGTGGAACCGACTGGCCCCAAACCCCACAGCAAATAAAGTGAAGAAGCCTCCAAACCCACAGCTTCTAACAGGCCTCATGGTTCTTTCTGCCTGTTGTGATTCAGTCCCACAGGAGACCATCTTCAGGAACATTTCACTGCCTCGGATTTGGGCAGATATTAGAAAGAACAGTGTGTAAGTACATTTGCCTCATGTTTTGCACTTTTAGTTGTCCTTTGCTCTCTGAGGGTTCAGGAGTAGGTTTGAGACCTCCTCCTCCTCCTCCTCCT